TGTCGCTGGTATCCCATGTACTCGACGGTGGTTCAAGTCCTGGACCCGGTGACTTAAACTCATGCCAGGTGCGTGTGTGTGCGTGCCCAAGATCCTGAGAGGAGAATGAAGAAAGGATTGCAGCATGGCCATCCCCCCTGGGGGCTGATTTCTGTTTCTCTGTCTCTCTCTGCCTTTCTGGTGAGTGCACACGCCCTATAGCAAAAACCGCTCAAAAAAAAAAAAGCCCCTTATCTCCCAATCCATAGGAGAGTGAGGAAATTGAGCTTCATGGGAACCAGGGAGATCCCCCTGAGCAGCCAATAACCCCTTACATTTACCTCACAACTTACATTTGTGAAGCTGTTTTGTAGTTGGGATTGTATTTCATTCATTCTGATGATGGCAGGTGAGGCAGAAGGTGGGATCTCTATTTTGCAACAGAAAAAGACAAAAACAAACCAAGAAAACCACCTAGAGAAGGATTCGATGACCTCTGGAAGCCAGCAAGTTCATGCCAAGTGAACCTCATTTTCTTTTTAAAAATGGACTTACTCGATTAGGGAATGTGACAGATCCTGTGTGTTGGGACATTCGCAGGACGCTTGATGAAATCTCTCACTGCGTTTTTGTACAAGGGGAACTATTGTCACGAATAGGGAGAAGCTCGTGATGCAGAGGGGTGTAGCCTATTGCTGTGGAGGGAAGAATTAGGATCCATAGAGGGTCACTTGCATTTAGGGAAGGAGGGTCCCTGCATTTAGGGAAGCACATCGAGGTTCAACTCAAGGTTGAATTTTCCGATAATCTGAGCTGTTCCACAGCGAGAGTACAGTGTGAACACTTTTGTGAGATTGTGATTTCTTTGTCTACGGAAATGGATAATGTTCTACTTATGACATTTAGGAAGGGATTGAGGAAGGAATGGGAACTTGGGCATGATGACAACCATGAGGATGAGTAACTTATCTCAAACTCTGGAATTAGGATCTCCTTTTGCAGTTGAGAAAAACCAAGAGGTTGAGAGGTTAAACGACATTCAGAGTCACCCAACTGGTAGGTGGCAAAACCCAAAGTCAGGCCCAAGTCTTTGATGACAACTCTCACATCCCCCCTCCTTCTAACCCTCTGCCGTAAGATGGCAACAGCTCTGGTCCACAGTGGGCCCTGGACAGCTTTGCTTTCAAGGGAGCTCCCGAAGAAAACAGCATATTGATTTTCTCTCCCTTCCTCTTCCTCGGGAGGGTTCATGTGATCAGTGAAGTAAATGGACTAATTTAAAGCTCTGCCTACCCAGCAAGTAGCGCTGCGTAAATGCATTTTAAAATCAGCCTCACATTTTGAATAGGTTATACACGTACGTGATAATGCAATTCAAACGAAACCAGATGGGGAGTGGTGAGGAGCGAATTCCCGTCACATCTCTTCCCAGCTACCCATCCAACTCCTTCCTAGGAGACTACTACGGCCTGTGTGTTTGTGTCCATCCAAAATGCACACATTGAAATCCTAGCCCCAAATGTGATTGTATTAAGAGGTGAGGCCTTTGGAAGGTGATGAGGTCAGAAGGGTGGGGTCCTCAGGAATAGGATTAGTGCCTTTATAAAAGGAACTCCAATTTTCTTCCTTCTGTTGTGTGCGGGTTCAAAAAGATGGCCACTTGCAAGTGGGAAGAGGGCCTTCACCAGAACCTGACCACACGAGCACCCCGATCTTGGGCTTTCAGCCTTCAGACGTGTGGAAAATAAACGCCTGTTGTTTAAGCCGCCCAGTCTATGGTGATTAAGCACAGCAGCCTGAACAAGCGCTCCTTGTGCACCCCTTGGAGTTATCCTTTCTTTTTATTTCTTTTTATTTTGTTTTATTTTTGGGAGAGGTTTTTGCTATAGGGTGTGTGCGCTCACCAGACAGAGAGACAGAGAGATAGGAAGTGAGAAATCACCCCCCGGGGGGATGGCCACACCGCAATCCCTTTTCCTCCATTCTCCTCTCGGGATCTTGGGCACGCACGCACACGCGCCCGGCGTGAGTTTAAGATACCAGGTCCGGGATGCGAACCATGGTTGACTACATGGGAGTCCAGCGACATAGCCATTACACTAACTGCTGGTCCCTCAGAGTTATCCTTTCTGTATACTCAAGCCAGAACCTGTGTATCCATTTGTCTCACACTTCTACAACTCACTTTTCACACATGCCTGATGGCAAAACCTAAAAAAAAAAGTATTACATACATAAGACTTAACGAATTTTTTTCCTTTTATTTATTTGTTCACATTTTATTGATTTGCAAAAGAGCTTAATTAATCTAAATACTTTCAGTAGCAAGGGAGCTGATGTGAACATATCTGTGAACACGTCTGACGTTAGGCACAAACCTCAGGGAGCAGAATGAACGTAGTCTATAGTAGCACGTCGCTGAGGCCACGTGGCTCACTGCTGGACCTCATGAATTTCAAGGGTACCGTATTGGTGCCCTGTCGATGGGCCTAGTGGCCGTGTATCATCTCTTGCACTTCCAGCAATGGGTGACATGAACAACCCTCTAAATATATCACATATCGAACAGCCTCTGTAGCCGGCGCCCGACCGACAATCAGAACAGTCCCAGTATCCAGGATGCAGAGGTGCCTGCGCCCCCTCCCACTCGCTACCTGACGTTTTTTATTTTTTTGGAGAGGTTTTTGCTATAAGACACATGCATTTGCTGGAGAGACAGAGAGAGACAGAGAGACAGAAAGTGAGACAACACCCCCCCAGGTGGAATGGCCACGCCGCTATCCCTTCTCCTCCATCCTCCTCCATTTTCCTCTCGGGATCTTGGGCACATATGCACACACACCCAGCGGCTGGGTCCGGGACTCGAGCTGCAGTCGACTATGAGGGAGTTCAGCGATATAACCATTACACTATCCTGGTCGCTGGTCCCCTACCTGACTTTTAAATGGAGTTGCCCAGTAGGGATTCCTGTGTGTAGCTTCACTTTTTTTTTTCCAGTTGCCAGAGAGAGAAAATGAGAGGATTCTAATGGGCATGCTGATGCCTCAATCCTTCCTTTCCTATTTCTCCACCCCATCGGGATTTTTGGACACACATGCACACACACCAGGGCACAGTATATTGTTCAAGCCCAGGGGACTGAGATTAGAACTGCGACCAGCCATTAGGGATCTGGCTCCATATGCACAGCACTTAACCACTGCGCTATGGGGCCTGCCCGTCTAGCTATTTTATTAGAGAAATTTTTGCTACTGGGAGTGTGTGCTTGCCAGAGAGATAGAAAGCAAAAAATCACCCCTCCAGGGGGGATGGCCACACCACAATCCTTTCTCCTCCATTCTCCTCTTGGGCTTTTGGGCATGCATCCACACGAACCCAGCATGATTTTGAAATCGCTCGGTCTGGGACTCAAACCACAATCAGCCATGTGGGAGTCCAGTGACATAACCACTATGCCATCTGCTGGTCCCATGTCTTGCTTTTTTTTTTTTTATTGGTTGCACAATAGTCCGTTTTTGGAAGTCTCTTCATACTTGGTGCCCCGTCGATGGACCTAGTGGCGGTTTATAATCTCTTGCTCCTACAAGCAGTGGGTGACATGAACAACGCTATAAAAATATACAATGCATCCAATTTTTTTTAGAATTATCTATTTAATTTTATTTATCATTACTGTTCCTATTATTATTTTAAAATATGCTACAGGGCATGCACACGAACCAGAGAGAAATAAGAGAGATGGAGAGA